TAAGTGTCCCGACCAGATTATCGGGATATTTTTGGAATTACCTAGTTCAATGATGGCACTGGACAACAACCAAGGTTTCTTCGCTATGAGCTACAACGTAACGGATTTCTACCACCGCCGTGACAAAAAGACAGCTTGCCCAAACACGCAAGGCTAGAGAAAGAGGCAGATATAAACATAAACGCTAATGATACATCGACATGACCAATTACTGTTTACATTTCCTATACTTGTCTCTATTAACGATACTATGGATGCAATTGAAATATCTCATCGTACTCAATAACAATCTCCTCCTCTTAATCAGTAGGATAGAATATCAATTGTTTTACGAATTTAAATGATCTAAAATCTGAATTTTTCAAACAGGGTCACGTAGTTATGGATATAAGAAACATGATGCACATCGTTACAAAATATCCACTCTCCTTGTTCTTTATCGGCTTAAAGCGAAAGCCTAATAATAAATCTGTATATAAAATTGATCGCTTGATGATTTTGGTAGTTAACATCGAATCGCCCAATGTAAAAGGTGTCAAAGGTATAGGCACACGCAAAGGCATTGTAACCATATTTTTCGGTGCGCTATATTCTCAGACACTCATTCGACAACGCTATGTTCAAATTCAGTCGAAACATCTGCGTGCATACATCGGGGAAATAGTTACCCTTATGAATAATAAGAATAAATAATAGAGATTGGCCAACCTACAAAGATGTTTATAGGAAAAGGTTACCAAATCTGGAAATATTTATTTACTTTTATTTACTTATTTAATGTAATTCTTGCCTGTCCCGTGGGTAAGAATGGCTTACGGTTATTAGATGTATTCTTATGACTACGCATGTACATTTGTCTACTTTATGCTTATTATCTATACTTGGATAGTCTATTGCCGCAATAATCGAATGGCCTATTCCTATTCCCATTTCTGTCTGTTTGTTTGTCGCTTATCGTCAGGCCTCTTCCGCTCTCGCATAAAAATTTGGCGTTACCTATTTCTCTTCTGGTTACTTTGCATTTCCCTATCACACGCGGTATCGTTTCCTCCTCCTCCTCCATACAAATTCTGTATATCCTGTTCCCGCTTTCTCTCCAGTGTTCGTTCCCTTTTACCGCATTCCCGCATATAAATCTGGCTATAAAACTGTTCTCTCCTTTGCTCATCCTTCCCTTTAAATAGCTTGATTTTTTTCTCCAACTATTCCCTTGTATTTTACATTATATTTTGAATTCTCTATTTTTCTCTTTCTTCTCCCATCCACTATCTCTTTCATCCTTCCCCTTATCCTCCTCATCGCTTTCTGTATTCTCCCCTCTTCCAAATCCCTTACTCCTGCTCTCTCTTTCTTTGCCAGTCCCGAATTTTCTCTTCGCTTTTGCTCTTCCTTCTCTCAAGCCATTCTTCGTAATACCTTACTCCTCTTTTCTTTCCAGTTCTCGTACATTTTCTTAAATACCGTTTACAGTTTCTTTTTGGAGAGCTTCACTTCTTCTTCGTATTTGAACGCGCTCTTCTTAGTGCTTTTATTCTCATTTCTTCGTCTTTCGTTTTCTGTCTCGGTACACTAATTTGGCATTGTCTGATCCAGTCCTAAGATCTATTTTATGTATTTTCTTTTAACTTACAATTAGTCTGGTCTCTTCTCCTCCCACCAATCCCATATTTCTGTCCATTAGTACGGCCGCGTTTTCTACCAGGGCTTCCTTTCTTCTTTTTTCTCCTTCCATATTTGTTTATGTACCTCCATGCCTCACTTTCACTCCTCATTCGGTTTATTTTCTTATCACCGTTCTTTCTATTCCTTTCTCTTCCATATCCATATATTTATATATATATATGCGATCCTTGCACATGTATGCACGTAAAAGAGCTCATTGTTTACTGATGTAAGGAATGTTATCTTATTATGCCATTTTTAGCTTCAACCTATGTACCAAAATTACCGAACGATTACGTTGTTTCTTACCTTTTGTCAGTAAGAGTATATATGTATGAATTCCCTTTTGTACAAAAGGGTGTTGAAAAGGAATCTAAGCAGACACGTTCTTTGCATCCCCTTATATTTTTTTCCTTTTTACCATTTATATCGTTCGAGGTTGTTTTTGTATTTTTCTTTTTCTTTTTCTTTTTCTCTCTTGATTTTGTAATAAAACGAATAATCCCACTTCTGGGATTCTAAGGGGGTTCGCTAATCTAATAACGTAACAGTCAGAACCGGCCGAATATTCTCTAACGTAAAACTCTCTCTAAGGAACTGTCTAAAGGCACTGTGTAACGAAACTATCTCAACTCTCTGTCTATCTTCCAGAGCGGGTCCTTTTAAGCCCGTCTGGAAGACAAGGACCTCTCCCGAAGGAGGAGAAAACTCCCCCCACGTAACGCTCTGGGGTGGAAGGGATTCCTCTTTCAGGTTAGGCTCTTCGAAGGGTCACCCACGCGGGGACCCTTCCCGAGAAGTGCCCACGGGCGCGTCACCCCCAGTTTACAAATGGGGAAAACCGGGGTTTGCGCGAGGCTACCTCACGTGGCCTGCCCCCCACTTCCCGAGACTCGTCTGGCTGCCAGACTCTAACGGGACCTCTATATCTGGCGAAGTCTAAAGATATCCTACATTCTTGCAATTTCCTGTTTTTTCTTTCTTTTCCTTTTTCCTTTTTTTCTCTAAATCTTCTATAAATGTAGAATCTGCAAGAATTGTTGACTTTCTTTTACAGCGGTAATTTTTCTTCACATTTTCTCGAATACCAGCTTTTGGGAATAGCCTTAAATTTCTAGCTAGAACATGGAACGCACTGCACGCAAATTCTGGTTGTCTGCAACGCTTGGCGTCGGGCAACAGATCTACGACCTCTGAAAATTGATAGGCACATCGACTCGAAACTGACCGTTTTTCGATGGGAAACGGTCCTTGTTTCTAGAGCATATTCTCACCTGGCAAATTGGAGCATCAGATTTGCTAACTTGCAGAGGAAGCAACGACTATAAAAAGGACGGTATCGTGGACCAGTATAAAAGGTAGTAACCGTGATGTGGCGACGCAGGCCACTTTGAACGACTGGCAGCAAGTGACGTAAGACATGCACAGAACCGTACCGAGTCTCCGAGTATGGTCACTGGTGCGGGAAACTTTCTAGTTTCGCAAGCAATTGTTTAGAGGGAACTACCGGGTGTCTCGCTGTTCGCGCTGTTACACTGCACTGAAGGCTTCGTGACAATCTTTTTCTAGAGACCTCTGGGGTAACTTGGTGGTGAAGAAGGTACCGCGTCGTAGGAGAGGTAGGTACCGGACGCAGTCAGGAGATTCCATCTCCGAAAATTCGCTCCATACGGTCCTCGTTCTAGCAGACTTTAATGTATCGGTCACAGCATAGAGCTCCCTTAGGATAGATGCAAGGAGCGAGACAGTGCTCGATTCGACGACAGAAGTGGAGCACCGATTGTTAAATCAGAGTTATCGTTATTCTTCGCAGAAGCAATTTACCTTTTCACTTCGTCACTATTACGCGTTTGCTACCTTTTCGTTTAGGCATTTGTAATTTTTATTGCAAGCATTTCATTCTTTATAAACGTCACTATTTGTAACATTATCACCCTTGCTCTCTCTCTCTCTCTCTCTCTCTCTCTCTCTCTCTCTCTCTCTCTCTCATATTGATGCTCAAATGATCATCACTGTCCGATCGAATACGTATGTACGTCTAACTTATTTATTCTTGGTACATAATTTCATCAAATTAATGACAAATTATTAGTTAAATATGGATGAATATACACGAATATGTAACATCTATGTATGCATTTACGAAAAATGTACAATCTTATATAACACATATGCAACGTACAAATATGCAAAATGAAAATTATATTTTTGGAATCTTTTAATAGCAATATAAACTTCTATTCAAATACCATAATTTTACCTATAAGGATACGCATTTGCTCAAACATCCACATTTTACTAATCATACTATATATGTAGCAATGCTGCTCTTAGAGCTTATAAAAAATTAATTTAATGGCACAAAAAATTTATCTATATCTTTCCTTAAACGTAGATAGTATCGTCGTATCAAATACAAGATTATATAATATAATACATAACTCAAACTTAAATCTAGTACCTGAAATATCTCGTTTGCTATTTATGATAGAGAGAAATGTTGGAAGAAAAAATTCGTTGGTTTGGAGTGGTACATATCGTAACAGGCAAAACACTTTCTTCAAGGTCATACTTTACGAGATTTGAAGGTCACTGCAGTCTTTTTAAGTGGTGTCATATTTTTATCACATTGGATGGCTGCATTCAACAACTGATTTCAAAAAGAATTTAACGACCCGTGACACTGACCTTCACGTGGCTTATAGTAGAAAAATTCATAAAAGTTACGCAACGGATGGAAATAGTGAAATAAATAATCAACAATATCTAAAAGGATCATTTTTCGATTATTTTCTTCAATTTTTTTCATTATTTTCTTCATCGATCAAAAGATATAGAATCACGTTGTAATGGTCGTGACAATTAATTTTCGTCCACTATTCACTAGAGATAAATCTTGCACATGGTCTCATATTAAATAGGAAATTAGAAGGATTAAATAGGAAAAGAGAAGAAAAGAAAGAAATATTTACAGTACTACAATATTCTGATACAGAAACACAATATTCTGTACGTTTGGTAAAAGAAATTAGAATTTAATCGATTCTTCCACGTTCGGTAAATGTTATAAAAAGAAAACAATTCGAATATACTTTTCATAGTAATTTCAATCATACAACCAAAGAATCACGATTAGAAGTATTTAAACTTTTATCGATTATCGCCACAGTTATTTTACAGTTAAATTTATGTAACATTTTCCAACGTATTGCGGAATAAAAGAAAAGATAAATGCTATGAAAGGAAAGTATACTTATGATACATAAATTGTTTATTCATTTTCAATATAGATTACGTTTAATATAAAATATAAGGAAACTTTTCCCAAACTTCGATGCCAAAATATAACATGTTTAATATTGAATATATTTAACCAGCTTGCTGTCATTGGTTACATATGCATAAGAAGTTCTTTCCAGAACCTGTCGCCACATAACTGTGACGGAAATTGAACTTCATCTATATACGTGTCATCTACTTGCGAGATGCTCTTGTATAGTGTAAATAATGATAAGCATATACCATTTGTTCTTGGTTCAAACTGAGCAGTAAATAACGAATTTTTCCTTGAACGTTATTGTTTGAACGTTGGTAGCGAACGTGTTAATATGTAACACCAACTTGTTTTCGAATCTCATCCTCTAATTGTGCAATGAGTAAAGATGTATGGTGTGGTACTTTAGAACTTTCAGTCATACCTAAATAAAAAAAATGTTAGTAATGATAAACATTTTAAACATTTCTGTTTGAACGGACGTTTCAAAATGAAATCTTAAGTCTAATATCAATGACTTATGGACAATGTGTATAAAGGTGAAAATTATCCAACATAATTTCCTAAATAAATTATCCTATATATCCTAAATAAATTAATAAAAACGAAATATTTCACTCATATTAATAACAATATCAGGTTATTATAATGCATGAAATAAAATAGACAATGACGAAACGAATTACACTGAAATATTGTTATAAATGTAAAAGAACTCCAGTAGACACCTGCAACATCTAACATATTCCAGTATAAGCATATAACTGCAAGTACTTTATATATTTTTTCAACAATAGTAACATATAAAATACAATCGTTCCAATTATAAAGACATGATTATTAGCCAAGAATTGCCTTTATGTGCAATTTATAAACGATAATTCATCGGCTGATCATAATCATAATATCCATGCATTGTGGACTCGTCGTGGTATGATCTGCGAGTGCGGTTACGTGTGAAATGGCATAAGACGTAGAACGTAGAATGCGGTTAAATTTTATTTTTATTTTATGCTACAATAACGTATATACAACCATGAGGTCGCAAATATTTGATACAGACTCAAATACCCATTTAACGAATTAAATTAAAAAATATTTTCACTTTCTTTAGTTATCTTTCTCGATACCTTTAATATCAATAGAGATAATTTAGGTCAACTAAAATGGGGCACCCTGTATGTCATAAAAGAAACGTATTTGTAAGATATGCTAATGACATCAGCTAATACATACGTAAGTATTCAGAAATCTATGAATGGAAATGTACGTGTTCTAGAGAGTCGCATACTGTTATAAATTGCTTTTGATTTTTATTCAATCATAGCTCTCTTTCATCCCTTGCATAAACATTTCAGTTGGAATCAAATCTTATATCTTTAAGGTGGTTATTTGTAATTTTGTATAGCTCTCTATTTGTTCGCGAACAAATTTGATATAAGTAAAATTACAGTAGTTAAAATATTTAAGTTATTAAAATATTAAAGTTGAGAATAAAAACATATTTTTCTCGATATTTTAGAAATTATTCGGAATAGTAAGGAATGATATACACAAAAATTATATGTATATTTTTCTATTTATTGACAAATATAACTATGTAACAGGTTTTTCGAAATATCAATTTATTTAAGGAATATATTAAAAATGAATATCTCATTATTCTTTTTTTTTTTTATGAATTATTATTAATAAATAATATCACCGTAAGAGAGGAGGAAATAAGTATTCGGAGAAAGTTACGGGTCATATCGGTAGAACTTGAAGCGTAGGTCTTGTTGCCACTTCTTCGATTAGTAATAAATTTTCACTATAGATTCGAATAATAAATTTTGTAGTTTTTCTAAAAAATGTTATTTTAGATTTGTTTAAACTCTCATATTCACTTCCTCTTTGTTGCGCCCCAAACACTGCAATTCTCATGGTCGGAGTTCTGCAGGGTTGTAAGGTCAGCTACGCTGATGCGACAGTGCTGAAGGGATGTGGCCTACTCGAGATAGACCTGGTTAGAGCTTCAACTGATTGAGTCGAGTATGCGATTTGAACGCGGTTTGAACGTGATAACGTGCGTGGGCTCTTTTGGGTTTCAAAGTGGCCTGATTGACCGTGACGTTTTCTCTTGACTTCTTATCATGAGTTCTTTAGCCAATCTTGGTTCCTTGCCTTCACATATTATGGATGTACGTTGATATTAGTTATTTCTCGAAGTGTTAATTCACCAACCAGAGGCATCCTAAGTATCGTCGCGACCACCCTTCCATGCGTCCTTGGCGCGCCCGTCTCTTGGTAAGGGAGGGCGATATCTGAGGTGGCATGAAGTTTAAGGTTTTCCCCAAGGTTGCAGCATTCCTCAAGTCCGAAGCGTCGTTAGAGACACTTCGAAATGGCCCTTCGGAATTACGGAGTTTTATAACACGTCTCTTGCTATTGGGCGCGGAAGAAATTAAAGTTCTAAAACCTTATTCATTACCCTAAAATATTCCGATATTTAATCCAATATTCAACTCAAAAATAGCCTTTCTTTGCGATCGTGTTATAAACTTTAAGTATGCCAAGACGGGATAATCCGTATGCACCGCGGATTACCCATAACACTCTTGTAAGGTCTGTATCCAATAATGATGACTCCAAATTATTTTTTAATTTTTTTTCGAAACCTCATCGTCTTCAATTAGTGTCATGTATAAAAAATTCCATGCCTTTTGCTTTGATGTTTAACATCACCTTCATAATGTCTTGCAATTTATTTTGATCCATATATGATGGTATCGTACGGAGGTTGAACCTTACGGTAGCAATATACATATACTCTAGAAACTAAAGGGCATACAGGTGGCATTATTATAATAGTTATTAGTTTATCGTATGTTCGACCATGCGCAGTAGAGAGTTTTCCTTTTTCATGTTTCTACATATTCTTTATTATTATTGATTAATACGGCCGTGTAACTCCTCATTCTCCCCACGAGTTTCAACACCACCTTTGTCGATTTGTGTTTTCTTCGATAGTTTAAATCTTCCTTTCTCTCTAACGAACGAACGAACGAACATCTCCTCTACCCAGACACCAAAATATTTCTTTCACTTTTTCTTCATACACATAACATATATTATCTTCATGCGTTCACTTTTCTCTAGCTTCATAAATGCATGAACGAACTCGATAATTCTGATATAATTAGAAATCTTTCTCGTACTTTTTCTTTCACTTTATGAAAAACCTCAATCCCTTCGATATTAGTTTCAGTTTCATTTCTAGCATTTTCGTTATTACGTAGCTTTTTAATAAAGTTCTTTACAAATAAATAGAATTGATTTTTATACTGTACGCAGTATACCATAAATTTTTAATGCCTATACATATCATTCTCTAACTATATTACACTCTACACTCTTGAATAGTTCTAGTAAATCTATGCACACCTATTTCACATCACTATCATATATTGCTACTGTACCACCTTCATATGATTTCTTAACTTATTCCATTTCTTATGTCATTTACTTGAAATCTTTGTAACCACATCATATGTAGGTATATATATATATATGTGTGTGTGTGTGTGTGTGTGTGTGTGCGTGTGTACTATTAACCAATTCAGCAACCGAATTGGAAACAAGGACACGAATAAAGAAACAAATGCCTTGCTATGCTCACTGATAACTTACATGCTCATATAGTTAACTTGGTCATGAAAAAAAGTATTTGATTGTTGAATAATACTTCTTGCCGTACTGAATAACTCCCAAAATATTGAGAAAAGTATGTTTTTCATCTCCAAATTTGAGAGGTATTTTCACGCTCTAAATATAGATGGCTAATGATAAAGAGAAAAGAAAGAAAGAAATTGCATGCAGAACTATATTTTCGGAAAATTTCATCACATTTTGTTAGCAACAGTTGTAAAATGTTTCATGTTAAATATAGTTTTTGATTTAACCTGTCAGGACAGCTACCTGTCAATACGACGCATCGCGGCGTGCTGATTTCTTATAATTCACTAACAATGAGTGTTTGTGTTCTTTATAAACTTAATTATTAATTATATCTACTGGTAAGGATAACTGAATAACTAAAAATGATTTCGTGTCATATTACGGTTATTTACGATGAATATCGTACAATATTAAATGATATATACTCAATGTCCCTTAAGGTTTAATTGTTGACCTAAATTTAATTTGCAATAGATATCTATATCTTGATATGTACATATAATTTTACGTTATTATTCAATCTACTCCCTGCAGATCTTCATTCAAATCTTCTTCCAAATCTTCATTCAAATATTAAGAATATCGGTGAAAACTCAATCATGCTACTACATTATAATTACATTTATATTGTAGATAAATATTGATTTCAGGGAAGTCAATCTCAATGATTTTAATACATATACATATAATGTTTGGTATATATGAATCAAAGTCATCAGTATTACCTTCCCTAAAATTAATATTTGCCATATTTCAATAATATTTTGAATATAAAACGAACGAAGAAACATACTGTACCTTTTAAAATGCAATTTCGAACTTCAGTAGCTTCGTAACTCAGCCCAACACTATTAGTAAAATTAAATTTGCATTCTGTTTCAGGAAGTGGTTTATTTATTGTACCGCGTGGAAGTTCTATACTCGTTGGACACCAAAACATCGGCACTTTTATCATCCCTTTTGTACCAATAATATATGCTTCATTGGGCAAATTAACTAGAGAATGAGTAATAATGGTTGCAGTGCGATTCCCTTTATACTGAAAGATAGCAGTCACGGATTGATCAACTCCCTCTTCATTTAAACAACCAGTAGCGTGTACGTTGTGAGGCATTTCATTATTAAATATCAAACAAGCCAATTGTATTGCATATACGCCCAAATCCAATACAGTACCTCCTCCAAGACTTTTTAGGCTAAACAGAACAAAATAATTCTTAATATAATAAATCTGAGAGATAAGGTTCCGACAGGCCCCATCGCGATCAATCGCACCAAATAGGCACCAAATCGCGATAAAATGGAAAGTAAGCGGAAAAATCTGAATGGGCATTAAATCTAAAATTTTACTTTCGGGTATTTATTACTTTCTAATATATTAAAATGAAAAACACAATTTTCGAATAATATATTGAATTTCACTGGAGGCGTAACTGTTTGCGTCGGAAAGCACGAGTGTGTGAAAGGACGAGAGGAGAAAAAGGAGGGAGAAGCGCGAGGTTTCTTCTTGGGCCTGGGGTCTGCTAGCGGACTCGTCATTAAGGTTACTTATAGAAGACCCGTGTCTCTCACGTGAGATGATTAGCAGGTCGGTGGATCTTTTATTTATAGGAAGCGGAGGGTTCACCGAGCATTTGCGAGGAATATCGAACCTCCTTGATTCCCTCTGGTGCTGATCACGAACGGTGGTCGTTACACACTTAATAGCAACGTATATGTTGTAGGTAAAGTTAGAAGAGAGGATAAGCAACAAATAAACAATTACTAAGGTAAACTTAAGATCACTCGTGATTCGTGAGTGAAGTACGAAATTCAATTTATATAATGCATGTTTCAGGCTTTACCTCGATAAAACGTGTTCTACCTATGCCTACTGATTGCATAAAAATGATTTTATAAATTATTATTGCATATTAGAGGAATGGGTTAAGCTTTTTCTCTTTTCTTAACAATATTTCTTATATACTAGATAAAATATGATAGCACAATTTACTATGCAAAATCGACCGTTCAAAACTAATTCTCATAACGGACTCTCTCAAACGATTTCTCGGATCCAACTCTCCACTCTTATCCCTTTGCATTTCTTTCTATATATATGTCAATACACACTATACACCCTTTGTGGTGTATTACACATTGCCAGGCGTCCAAAAATTCCTCGTGCATTCTAAGAACTCACACTGTTCCGACACTCGCTATTCGCGCCGACAATCGCTCTATCCGCTTTCATACCGTTCCGATACTCGCCACTCGCGCCAACAATTGTTCGGTCCATTCGCCAATATCATAATATTAACAAAAAATTTATTTAAAACTTGAACCCTTAAGTGGGGGACCAGTAGAGTGCGGTCGAGAAGAGATGGCACAGCGTGTTTTCAACCTCACGGGTGATTAGCTCCGCTGGCACTCCCTCGATAAAGATCATCGACATCGATCATCTCGCTACACGAAAGCGAGACCGAGGGGGGCAGGATATGGCAGAATCGACGTAGTCTCTGAAGTTATTATGAAACAGAAAACTAACTAAACTAAAGTATTAGTCAGCCGTGAGGATGAAAACACGCTGCACACACGCTCTTCTAGGCCGCACTGTACACGCCTAGGAAAGTAAGTATACTTCTACTTCTGCCCCTGCATATAAAATCCAACCAAAATCAAACGTAATCTTTAATTGACTTGAGTAATTTTATCTCATATTTAGTCTAAAATTACACACATTAGCGAATAATTAACAAAACAGTATTGTTTCGCTCGACTTGTCAGTGACATAAATGCCATTAATAATGAAGATAGAAACATACTGCGGCGAGGGTATTTTATTCGGACGTTTTTTTATTACAGCCAGTGTGAAAAGTATTCGTACACCCAATAATAATTTCCAACTGCACTTGATAAAACTATATCTCAACGATTATTTCAACGACTATTTCATGAAAAAGCAATTTGTACATATTCTTGCAAACTTCTGGAACAGATATATTATACAAAAACAAATAATTAGTAAATCGCTTTTTAAAAATTAGGAAAAACGTGGAAAGAATTTTCATGGGAGGAATGTAATATTTCTTAGTTAGTATATATGTATTGTAGAGACATGGGTGTTTGGTAAATATGTAAAACTATTATTTAAACATAAAATATAATACATATAATGCAATGTGCGGTGGCGGTAAAGACTAGGAATATAGATATCTATATATCAACTAAACTCGCACGACTACAACGATACAATTATACCTAACAACACAATTACAACTAACAACACGATTACAATTAGCAACTTCTTTCTTCGCAACTCTCTTCTAATAAGTCTACTACGAACTCTAACATAATACATACTACACCATACTACGACATACTACGTACTGCCTACTCACACCCTTGCATCCCTATTTAAAACCATACATTCTATCCTCTTTCATACCTATTCTTTCTTTTCCAATCACACTTTCCCACGCACTCCTTGAAATCTTACCTTCAGCGGGTCACGTAGCCCAAACACTCAAACGCATTCCCAGAGACACTCTTCACTTTCATCCGATACATTCATAAACATCCCGTCCACACAATCCTAGCGCACGGTCATTCGTCCTTTCGCACGCATTCTAGATAACATGCTCGACCCGCTCATCCTGCGATACCATAGTATGTATATCCGATATCGATGAAGGGCGAGAAGTCCGATTGTTCGTTGCGTTACTGTACAAGAAAGGTCTAGAAGTACTAAAGAATTTAAGTTTATTTTTTAACAGAGACTTTTATGTATATTGTTTTGCTTTGTTTTCAAGTTGATTCATAGAAAAATTTTAATATTATTTCAATTTTTCCTTCTTCTGTCATCGCAAGTGTAGATAAACAAATATGTGGCAAAGACTCTTTTCTAAATACAGTATCCCTCTTTCTCAGCACAAAGAATGCGGTGGTAAACGAGGTCGAAATTCAGAAGAAGAGTCAGGGTATAATAGCCGGGACAAGAAGTGGTAATCTAGAAGAATATGTAGGTACTGATTACATGAAGAGAACAAATTATGCAAATTTTGCGTACGAGGATACGGTACATCGTGGTGTCTGCTGCAAGAGAACGAGGAAATGGAGAGGATAGGATATAGACTAACAATAAGAAATGTGCTGGACGATAGAAGTAACGAACGAGTTGTTAATTGGTTAAGGAATGTAAAGAAAAAGAAAAAGGAGAGGGAACGTAGGAAACAGAAGATTTATAGAGTGAAGAGATGTGTGTAAGCATGGATATAATTAACCTTGTAAGCTAAATCTAGTTCTAAGTCCAAGAGTGGAAATAAATTATTGTTATTAGTATTATTATTGTCATTCTCCTTTACTAAAATTTTCTTATTTCGAAACTAAAAGTCTCGATTGTGTAGGATATTTTTCGACTTGGCCAGGTATAGAGGTCCCGTTAGCGTCTGGCGGCCAGACGAGTCTCGGGAAGTCGGGGCCAGGCCACGTGAGGGTGACGCGTCCGCGGACACCTCTCGGGAAGGGTCCCCGAGTGGATGACCCTTCGGAGAGCTTAACCTGAAGGAGGAATCCCTTCCACCCCAGAGCGTTACGTGTGGGGAGTTTTCTCCTCCTACGGGGGAGGTCCTCCCCTTGCAGACGGGTTTAAAAGGGCCTGCTCTGGAAGATAGATAGATAGATAGATAGATAGATAGATAGATAGATAGAGAGAGAGAGAGAGAGAGAGAGAGAGAGAGAGAGAGAGAGAGAGATTGCACAATTGCAATTATGTGGAAATTCATTAAAACTGACGATTGACAGTTCGGTATATTTTCTTGCGAGAATGATTGTTATACTTGGAGATACGTGGAGGCAATAGAACTAGAAATAGACATAAAAAATGTGGGCAAAACTGTGGCAGTTTCAGGAATATAAGTAAAATAAAGGGATGGAAAAATCTATGTACATTTAAGGGGAGATCTTGTAGAACAGCGTAGAACAGTGTAGAAAAGTGAAAATGTACGTATTCTGGAGAATTTTTTACTAGTAATATTTACTTGATCACATGGAAAACTACAAGATATTATTCAGTAGCTATAAGAGTACAAGAACAATCTTTTTTACGTTCTAAAAAAGGTTAGAATTTGGCATTATAACAGCGTATATGTAGCATCACGATAAAAAGGTCTGAAATTTTCGGGAACTGTAAATCCTCTCTATCTGACAGAAATACAGCAAATTTTCTTGCTTCTTATAAACGTAGTTTGTCGGTAAACCTTTAAAAATATCCAAAGGTTGAAAATTGGTAAAATGAGGCCGCTTTGGAAAAAAGCTGATTTCCTCGTAAGAATTTTACGTCTATTTATGTATAAAGAAGTTGCTTAAATTATTTACTTTGCTTATTTTATAATTTCGTTTACAAGTACATGTAATATAGTATATATATACCATAAACTTTCTAAATTGCCAATTTGAAAAATCTGGTTTCGAGAAAAACGCGTTTAAAGTGTGCGAAGACGCCACGCGATCGCATGCTGACACGCAATAAACATGCTATGGATGTTTAATACAATACTTGCTTTAATACGATACATCGAGGATTACATTGTAGAATTGAAAATATATTCTACAATTGTTGTACCATTGATTAAAGCAATAAAGAAGAAATCAATCTTCTTTACTGTCTACATCAGGATTCACCATATAAAGAAATATGTTGCAGAAATGTTGGGAACTTATTGGAGGAAAAAGTACGATGCAATATTAATTCCAATGGAAATAAATGCGAATATAGATAACCATGAAAATAACAAACGATGTAGGATTAACGAGTACCAAGAGTTACTGGGAAAACTCGTGTATTTAAATACATATAGCAGAGCAGATATTTCTTTTGCAGTAGAATGCCTGTCGCAATTCAATCATGATTCAGAAATAACATATAGATATAAATGGATTAAATCATTTCAAAGAGGATATTAATCATTTCAATCCCACGGATCATTGAAAAAACATTACCGATTAATCTCGAATAGCGCAATAGCGCTTGTCTTAGTTTTTGTTCAATAAGAGTTATTAAGAAAGTAACAATGAAATATAAAATGTATTACACTCCATTTTCGGCTGTCGTATAGAGCAGCTGTGCTTGATAACAGTACCGTCACGTACGGTACTGCCATACGGCAGTGACAATGCTTGTGTTAGAATCAATAATGACGGCCTTAATGCCCCACATCAGTTCAGATCCCGTGTACACGTATGGACTTAATCTGCAAAATGGAAACGACATTCGCACAACAGCCAGCAAGCAAAGCTTCTATGTAACAGAGATATCTCATCCACTAACCCAACAGAGAAAAATCTAAAAAATACAATAATTCAACGATACTGCAGCTAATTAATTTTGCGCTCATGTCAGAAAACACGATTCCTATCCTCCTAAAGAGCAAGCCATAATTCTATAAGCAATCGATGCCATAAGGATAAAAAATTATGCTTCCGCAATTGGAAATTCATCTCCAGAATCTCTAACAAAAGAATTTGTGTGTACTTGGAAAATAAGAAAACAGTAATTCGACTAATAGGCAATCACAAGAGAATAAGAGTAAACAATAACTCAACTGAAATCAGATCCATGCTAACACCAACACGGAGAATAATATTATTTAACGTCTCCCCAATAATACCTAACACAACGATAGGAGATATATTCAAGCGTAATAATGTACACTTGCTCAAAAATATCCTTCTTAGAAACAGTAATGCCCGACCCAGAATATGCTCACATCCTAAGTTTCAAACGGCAAATGTATATGAAATCTGATGAAGTTAAGAAAACCAAACCAAACTTTATCTACCTACCGAATTTTCGTTACAACTGATGAACTAACTCAGTTTCTATGCGAATAGAAAGGCCACATAGCGAAACAATTGCCTTATAACTCCACCGGCAACGCTATCACGATTAACGCAAATACAGGTCGCTTACAATTAGTCAAACTATAAAACCGTCGATAAGTAAGGACACCTTAGAAACTGACTTACCAATTGAAAATCTAGAAGAGTTACCATCTGTTCTAACCAACAGAACAGCCAATGATTCAAATTGGTACACGAAGGTCCGTATCACCATCGTCAAATGAGGCCCAACCCGACGATGATGAAAACCCCTTCAAACATTCAGTTTACTCCACCTCTACAAATTAAAACTATTAAAAAAGCCCAATATTTAAAACGAGCAAAATTCGAAATCGAACAACACGAGAGTAAACGTATCTTAAACTATCACCAACATAAAAGAATAATAATAACTATTAAATAATAAACGAATTAACCAATATCCTTCGATTAACGAAATTCCTTTTCGAAATTCATCACCTGGTCCAGATAATAGTCCTAACAGATTACTAAAAAAACTTCCTATGGTCGGGAAAAGCTATCTCCTCAAAGTGTATAACTGCATATAGACTCAGAAAGTCTTTCCAGATATAGAATTCAAGGAAGGCCATAGTCGTTCCAATTCCCAAACTTGACAAAAATAAACGTCAACCCGAGTGTTATCGCTCAATTGCAATTATTATAATAATTGCGTGCAAATTATTTGAAAAACATGATTAATGCCAAACTCCATTGACTCCTTAAAATTAACAATTTATTATGACCATTCCAAAGCGGAATATGCTTGGACATTAAGAATGCGTATGACATGGTCTGGAGACCGAAAATCATCGACACATTCATTGAACTAAATATTAATGGATTCATGTTATCCTTTATAGTTAACTTTCTTTCAAATAAATCTATTCAAATTAGGATGAATGGCACATTATCAAAACGACATACCCCAAGATTCGGTACTTAGCGTTACGCTATTTTCGCTAGGATTCAATGATATAACAAGTGGCATAAGACCACTCGTAAATGCTCATCTATTTGCTCACGATCTCACGCTAACGTGCAGTGAAAAAATAGTCCTAAAAAATGGTCCTAAAGAATGGTCCTATATATCTCGGCTTAAATTTTCATCTCAACAAGCACAAGGCATAATTTTCTCAAAGAAACGCCAACAAGATACGCCAACATTATTTGTGAGAAATAACAAAATCAAATTCGTTCACAACATCAAACTCTTTTCGTATTAATCTTTAGCAGGCAGCTATCCTAGATTCTGTACATAATACACGTAAAACACTCTTGTCTGAAAAGATGAAATATCATCAAAATCCTAGCCAGCCACAATTGGAGCTCTGATCAAGAAATCCTACTGAAAATCTATCGAAGCCTAATAAAATCTAAGATTGACTATGGTTCTATTATATACAACCCAGTTAAACTGGGCATATTTTAAAAACGATAGATCCCATACATAATGCAGCATTGCGATTTGCTGTGGGTTTATTTCGCACGTGTCTTACTAGTAATGTACTATTTGAACCTGGTAAGATTCGACGGCATAAGAAGCCGACGGCAGCAAGAATACTAGATTAAACCATGAACGTAAAACTCAAGTTTACACTTCTTGTAAACAATTTTTTACCGACGCATCCAAATCTAACCAAGGGGTGAGATACGCCATTATTACAGATGATCAAAAAACGTCTATTTGAGCATCTGTTTTTACCGTTGAAACTTATTCATTACGCGACGCTCTTAAGTATACATGTACTTCTGACATTCAAGGCCACGTAATTTACACCGATTCTACGGAATTGAATTGGAGCGTCATTCAGGCCTTAACAAACACCTCTGAAAGGAAGAAAAACGAAATCGTTAGAAATATCTTAATTCCGTACACGGAATTTGCATCCATCGACAGGAATGTAACGATTGGATTCTTTCGTATCAAGGGATAACTGGGAACGAAGAAGCAGATCCCTGGGCTGAAAAGCAATCACTCTTCAAGCCGAACAACACCGAAAGAACAATACAGAACGAAGTGAGAAAAGTTGATATTTCTGACAATTTAAATTCCGTAAAACTGAGGACATTATAAAACAAAATCAAAGCTGTTAAATAGAAAATGTTGTCACGCGAGAAATGTTACGAAAAACGAAAAATCACAAATTTTGCATATACGAAAGCGAACCGACTAAACCTATGGTACTTGGAAATGGAATAACAAACAAACATTTTTAATCTCCGGACAGTGACTACTTTTTCAATATCATTAGCGGTGACCCGGGATCTAATTGACCATATTGCTAGTGGTAACGGGACGTCAAATTGACGTATGCTTACATGAAAATATTTTCTACATACATTCCGATTCATACTTCATGATGCATACAATGCAAACGCATTGTACAAAAAGAAACAAAAAGAAAGAGTATTATTTTATATAATGAAGATTAGTATCAAAAATGTTCATTTACTTTATCAACAAGAGTACTCGTGGCTATTTGAAAGCTAAATAGCTAAATACTTTTCAATGTCTTTTCGGTATAACTGCTAATTGTAAGGCAACGTACTTTTTCATTTTCTTATAAAATTTATATCGTTTTATTTCTATTGATAAATAGTTTAAGTTACGATTGTATCAATCTGTTTATTTAATGTTCCCCGGTATAATCCTAACGAGATTAACCTAAAATTTGATATATTTAAAACTAAGTTAAAATAATAATTAAATAAATAAGTTATATTTCACCAGTCCCGATTAATCCTAATGATAAAAATTACTATCTTGTCCATAATAATATTCGCACATACCTATTTCACGATAATTATTTTCATTTTTACCATACGCAGATGTTAAATTGTGAAATAACATTTCGTCGGTATAGGTATACAAACGTAGAAGAAAGAATAGCATATTGCGGACCCCGTACCCCAGGTAAAGCGTGATGGGATATTAAAAGAAAAAAAGGAAAAAAGGAAAAAAGGAAAAAAGGAAAAAGAACACTGTTTATAACCGGCACTCTTATATCTCTAAATCAGCAACTTCCACCATTTCTATTAACCAGTAGACAAATGCTTGACCGTGCCAAGAGTTCTTATAAACTCCTAACGTTGTAACTCGTTCTCGCGGAAAATGAAGACAGTAACTATTCAACCATTAAAAGTACAATCTACAACTCTTCAAGCATCACACTTTCCCTTCCCTTTGGATCCGTTCATCATTAACCATCGCAAATCAAGACTCACTTATTCACGCAACAGTAGAAAAGAAAAGAAAATTCGCTTACGTACGTTAATCGTTGAACATGTGAGAGATTAAATCCAAAAGATACAAGAATTTGATAAATTTCACCGATACTTCCAGAATCAATTTCTTGCTTAAGAATCTCATATACAGGAAAACATCTGCTCCAAATACCTTCCATTAAAAACAATTTTTTCTCGTTTGCTAAGTTTATCAATTCTGTTGTTTGTTTTGCATCCATAGTTAAAGGTTTCTCACATAAGACATGTTTCCCATGATTTAACATTAACTTTGCAATTTCAAAATGTTGTGGATTTAACGTTCCGATATATACGACATCTGCAAAAATAAGTAAAAATATATATTAATAAATTAAATAAATTAAGATCGACGAATACTTTTAGATGCTATCAAATTGTGAAATATTAAAAAAGCATAACATTTCCCAATTTTTCATATAATTCTTGAGAAACACAGCAGTTTATGTTATTTTGTAAAATATTTTGTATTTACCTTTTCATATTAAAAAAAAGAAAAAGACGAAACAAACGAAGTAAACATACGATACTCAAAATGCGCGTATAAGATTAATTATTATTATTATATACATGTTGGGATATATTTTGATTGGCAAAATACAAGGAATAAAGATGTTATTTAATTCCAATATATTTTATTTATGAGTTAAAGGGACTTAAGAGTCCCTTACAAACTGAAAAGATTAGACTAATTACGCAATTCACACTCGCACGTTAACTACTCGAGCTATCACCGACTCGACTCCCTTTCAAACCTCGTATCGCACTCTCACCAACAGGACTGTTCTAGGACAGCCCTTGCACCTTCATCCAGCACCTTGCCTTGCACTCGGTCTTCCTTCAAGACCGAGATATTCGAGCTTTCTTCCTCAATCACGCATTTCCCATAATACCCTAAACATTCAGGCGCCTTTCGCTCTTCAGTTTGCTTTCTATACAGTCATAAATATTTCGTTCATCCGATCTTTACACGCACACTTCAGACGTCGCTCTAAACATTCAGTCTGAACCCTAGGTTGCTGTTTATTGTCCGTCACCAGCTAGTACTTATTGTTAGTTAGATCCAAGAATTCCTTTGCGTTCACTCTTAATCTTACTATTGGCTACATACATAAGGATAATTAGTAATTGGATTCTAACTTTAGAGTGAATTTCATAATTTACTTTGATGACTTTCTCAGTTGAGTTTGATTAAATAATTCTTTCAATGTATACCAAGAAATTCTAACCTATCCACCACCAAAAATGCAATATTTAAGTCAGATAATTGAATAAAAATATAATACAATTTACGATAATACATTTTTTTTTTATTAAGAGAAGTTTGAAAGTAATATTACTGGGTAGTGTCCAGTGTTACCGTATGCATAAAAGCACGTAACTTTCACCGCGGCATACTTTTTACTACTACGTATGATGATTTGCACAACTCGTAATTAATGTAATTTATTTAAACGGCTATAAAGCCGTGTTTCTGTGACATATCATGTATGCAGGTTTGCTAAAAGATACTGACGTATGATTCTATACGTTACCGCTCTTTATTTTATTATATTCCATATTACACATAAACTGCACTGACGGTAACATTAACAGAATATTGTTTATTCCCGAAAGCACACGTTATAGAAACATTGGAATACCTCTTCCGTAGTTCAAGAACAATTATTATACCAATGGCAAAATTTGAGAAAAAATAAATAAGAAATAGAGAAGAGAGAGAGAGAGAGAGAGAGAGAGAGAGAGAGAGAGAGAGAGAGAGAGAAAGAGCGGGTAGAGTGCGGATAGAGAGCGAGGGAAAAGTTTAGAAAAAGATTCATAGGTCTAATGTAACTTTGAACTTTATCTATAATATAAATATTGAATTGAATTGTATATTGGATTATGAGAAAATTGGTAGTTAGCACTAATGAGAAAACGAGTAACAAAATATTAAAGTTGGCAGAACTGTATTTACATCGTTTGCGATACCGCGAGGTAAAATGTAAAAACATATACATACATATTGTATGTCCGAAAATTCACGCAAAAAGTAATTTTGATTGAAAGTACGGGCTTTTAATTAAAAATTGTAAATATTGCTCAACGATGAAGAAGCGTTGTTCTTTCGTATAACGCTCCATTTCTAATAACCCTGAGCTCTCAGCTGTCACGATGTCATCTTTCTTTTCGTTGCAAACACTTTACCGCACAAATGGCGCAAAATTCAAATCTTGCGTGAATTTTGGGATACCCAATGCAATCCTATTGCAATAATATTTAATTAATAAATGCTTCATAAATATTTTTTATCCTAAATATCTATTAATATCTATTATCTATTATCTATTATCTATTATCTTTGTAAATTACCACGAGGTGAGATACCTAGAAAATATTTATACATGTAGGATTGGAATAAGTATGGTCCTGAAAGAATGTCAAGAGTGTCTGGGCTTAGAACGAAAGTGACTGTGTGCAAGAGGATTGACTACAAAGAATATTTATGGTAGAGTCGAGTGAAAGTTTAGGGATGCGTCTAGAGTGGTTGAAGTACTTGGCCTACCGAGGTTGCGTGGGAAAGGGGTACAATTGGAAAGGAAAGCCTGGGCATGGAAAATGACAGAATGAATGGTTTAAATAAGGGTGCAAGGAGTCTTTAAGAATCTTTAAGAGTTGTTTAAGCCAGTCTTTTTGCAGTGTGAAAGTCAGTCTGAAAGTCAGTCTGAAAGTCAGTCAGAAAGCATGTAAGAAGTCTAAGTCAGTCTAAGAGAGATCAAAAGAGCGTGCCCATAGCGAATCTCTCTTGTTTCATAGCCGTTATTCTATGTATAAGCTTATTTTAGTCTATTAAGAAGCCAACAATACTATCTTAGTGAATCCACCCAAAATCCGATCCTACATACATACATGAGAATTCTATGTTTTTCTGCATATGTCAGTTAAAGTAATAAATAGAGAAAGTAATATATGCATTTGAATTCCGATAGGAATATAGCAATTCTATTTTTATTCCGTAAAAAGATGTACATTTCAATAAGAGGAAAATTAAATACAAGAATATTTACATAGTTGATAGATATTGTCTAACTAAAAATCTTAACTAAATCTAATTAAAAAATTAACTATTACGAAAGTTGTTTCACTGTTTATAATAAATTATCTGACAAAAACTGGTAAAAACACGATCTTGCAGTATTTAATACTAAATTGAAGTAAATCTATAGAAGCTGACAACTTTATAATAGAAAATTATATGAAATTAATGATTTATACAAAAATTGATCATAACTTACAAACGAAATAGATTTAAGAAAGGTTTCTGAATTCATATACTCTTCATATTACTATAAAAGGTTGTGAAAAATTTGACGATATAGGTTTTCGAATCATTATATAATATATACAATTTCCTATTTAACACAATTTTTCGAAACATTAAGATATCTGAGAATATTTGTACTATGATACTAAAAATCTTACCATATAGATTGTGTTTTATTGTAACATAAATTTCATTCTAATTAAAAATCTAACAAATATATTTCTACAAACATTAGGCAAGTATAATAGGACGGTACGTACCAATATCATTATCCTCTGCTAGCTTTGCATAACTGTCAAATGCCTTTCTAATTTTATGTAAGTTAGAAAAATCCTGTGCTCTGGATAGTTCTCGTGCTGCTACTGCAACCACTACATGTTCATTTTCAAGTAATGTTCGTAAAGATGATACAAAATCATGTGATATTTTTCCAGCACCTGCTATGCCCCAATGAATAGACATCTATAACAGCATAAATAATAGAAATGTTAATTACTTAATATATAAACATAATCCTCTAAATCATATTCTATCTGTGTTAGAATTTTAAATGTACTGTTATTTGTATATAATGCAATCAATTAAATAAATTAACACGAGTTTCCAATTTATATTTTTCATTAAAGTATATTTGGTGTGTTTTCGCAAGGTTATCGAGCTTCCGTTAAAAAAATAATCAATTTTTTAGTTACAAATTAATGTTAATAAATTAAATAATATTTAGTATATTTAAACAATATATTCTATTCTTCTTAGAATTCAAAATTCTTCGAATTTTTTCCATAATTTGTTTCTATAGTATAAAATAAACTGTTGACCGATCATTACGTTTTTGGTAATATTGATCAAATTTTCATTTTTTCACCTACCACACAATGATAACTGTATAAACATTTGTCAAGTGTCAGAGAAATATTCTCCTATTATTTTTGTTTTCTATTAGGAATTAAATTAATTTCGAAAATTTGTTCTGACAATTTTCTAATTTTATCCTTATGTTTAGCAATACGGAAAATATTGCGTACACTTCGAATTTATTTCGTTTCAGTCAGCTGTATTGAATTATATAAAAAATATTATATTGTAAATATATGTAACCATGTTTATATACACTATTCAAATAGTCAATCTTTTATTTGTTGAAGGTTTATTTGTTTACGTAATGGGCCTTTTCATTTGGGGATATCATTATTTTAATACGACTATATATGTACGTCACAAAGCGTTTGCATCACTTCTTCGCATATTCATGATTTCTTGTCTTCGTAAACGTTTAAATTCATGTAACTACCACAAAAGCTACCAATAAAAATTCAATAATCTTGATAATCATCATACAGGCATATATGTTTGCATCTATATATTTATTAATATATGGATCCAGAACCAAATACTTGATGTATTACTCCTTCTTCAATATAAGGTATGCCATATTACCATAATTATTTCGTCATTTAACTTAATTTGATCTTTATACAACATGTAACATATGCATTCAAAGTGGAGAGCTATTAAATCGTTTGAACGACAAAAATCGCAAATTACAATTTTCTCGACTAAATTGCTCTTTTCTCCAAATCTTCAAATTCTAGACAAATTTTTTTGCCTCCTTTAAAATCAGCGTAACAAAATGTATAAAAAATCATGTATAATATGTAGTAAACAAAGTCCATCTTGATCTGCGATTTTCATATGAATTTGGTCAGTTTTTCCCAATATACAGCACCGCCGCGCAACAAAGAGATATCGCGTGTTAGATATACACTTTAATGACATTTATTATGTGCAACGCGTTCATGACACACATATAGGCAGAGTTGAATATAGTAATACCAACAATTTTTGCAAATATCTCAAAAACTAAGGCCAAGCGACAATTATTATCTACATATATATACATTTCTCAGCATTTCGTCTACTATAACATGATTCAAAATCATTGGAATCTACATTTCTCCCGCGACCTATATTTCTTATTAATGCTAAAGCACGATACTTTTTGAAAACACCAGGAAAAATAAATAGATTTAGGGCAAAGTCACCAAAATAAACTTTTATATATTGTATTTTGCATTATTATATTATAAAATTACCTGTATTCTAGAATAAATGTATGAAATAATGTTCTTACTATAATAAACGAATGATCTAATAAAGAACGTTTGCAAAATAATAGTTTCTATTAATTTACATACAAATCTTAAAATACTTAAAAAATTGTTAAAAATCGACAAATGTAACTATTGAGATTTATAGCATCTTAAAAAGTTTATTTGTCGACTTCATGTTTTTAACAGATATAAGAGATATTTTAGTCCCTCTTAGAGGTCAACCAATTTCTGTCTTTCCATATATAAATATATCTCATTCCATTCCGTTAGATAATTAAGATTATATACTTCCTCTAAGTATTAAATATACAAAACTGTATTTGTATTTCTATATTTTAATATCAAATTTGTATTGATAGAGTAAGATCATTGTGGGGCTGGTAATTTGAATGTCCTACGATTAATTTCTAATGATCAAAATTTATTTTTCTAACTTATAGTGTTATTGTAGCAACCGTATACATTAATTCTATATTTCCGGATGCATCAGTAAATGTATTTGTTTGCTGTTCATGAAAAGAAGTTCTACTGATTAAAACATTAAAGTTAAAGTACCAAAAGTAGAAATATCTCCGTAACCAACCAATTTCCCACACAAGTGTTTCGGCATATTTCTTATAAATAAGAAAAAAGTGCACCTGTTGACACATTAAAAAGTGTATAATTCAGATAGTGATAACCTTGAAATATTCGAAAAGTTTCCGTTTATATAGCAGACATATTACAGTAAGAATCTAAAATTAGTTGAAAATAGTTTTGCTTAGCTAAAATTAGTTTCATATGAATAGCGAGAGAAGATGTTAGATGTTGGTAGAAGCGAATTTGAACAAGTATCTAATGGAAACAAATCATAGCACAAATTGAGAAGCAGAGGCAAAGTAAAGTGAAAACTCTCAGGAGAAGAATCGGTTTCAGCAGGTATTAAAAATTGAATAGAAAATGAATAGAAAAAAAGTACTCGGGTAAGAAAAAATGGGGGCGACGAAAGAAAGCAAACTAAACAAATTGGGCAGTGGAAGAAAAGAAGTAGGGAAAAATACTGGAAAAACAAGCGAATTAGAAGTTGAGGAGACTTCAAGTCCAGAAAGAAGGAGCACGAGAAGATGCAGTTCGAGGAAAGAATCCTGACAGGTATAGGCAAAGAAATTGGAAAAGAACTAGAGTGCCTAAAAAAAGAGATAAAAAATAATGGCAGGAAAATTATAGGATGCAAGGACATGTTTACAAAGGAAATCAAGGAATTGAGATAAAAGCTAAGAGGAAGCCAAAATAAATAGAATAAAGATGACGAAACACGAAATAAAACAGGAATTAGGTTGAGCAACCTAAGAAAAAAAGATACAAGGGGAGGTCGGAGAACAGATAGAGTAGCAAAAAGAAATAGAATTGTAAATGTAACTAAAACTCTATCTGAAAAAGATAGAAGTCGAAGAGAGAAGTGAAAGGAGAAAAAACATCGAGTAGACTAGCAATGGAAAACGGAAATATTAAGAAAAAGTAAATTACTGATAGAAAAACTGAAACTACAAGCGGGAAACATGGAGGCTACAAGAATAAGTAGAGGGCATAATAGAACAGGCCCAATTATTAAGTCAACCGATTCAATTGGAATCTATGGACACAAAAAAGGGAGATTAAGGATTAAATTTTTAAAGACAGGAGAATCGGACGAAGACCAGAGAAAAATATCAGTTATAGTACGGAATATTGCAGAGGCAGGAAAGATAAGGGAGGTGTGGGGTTTTTTGAAAAATTTCGATATAGTGATCCTTCAAGAAACCTGGATAAAGGAAAAAAACAAAAACATTATACTGAAAGTATTAAATAAGAACATGCAGTAGTGGATAAAAATGGCTAAAGGGAGGCTAGCAGCGGAAGAGAAAGTGATGGACAAACAGTAGGAGTAAAAAGAACAGGATAGGTAAAGCTACAATGAAAGAGTAGGAATGCGTCTTAACGTTAAACGGAGGAAGAGGAAAATCTCCTAATGATTACTATATACAACGACAAAAATGTAACAACGATAAAAGAAAGGCTAGATACAGTGATAGATAGGAAAGGCAAGAAATTAGTCATTTTCGAGGAGTGGAATGCTCGGATTGGATTGAAGCAAGCTAAGACAAAGATAACAGAAATAGATACCTGGGAAAGGAACTCGGAACATATAGTCCGTCATAGCGTGGGCAGAAAACTGTTGGATTAACAACCTTAAATGGGAGATCAAAGGGGGACGAAGATGGAAAGTTAACATACACAGGCGCAAGAGGGAGTTCTGTGCTCAATTACGTTATCGCCTAAGAAGATGAAGAAGGGGGCCCGGTATGCGAATTAACGATGCACGTAAGGGAGCAATCCGATCACATACCTGTTGGGTGTATATTAAAAGATAAAACAAAGGAACGAGGCATTCAGAGAGAAGGAAATTGCAAAAACCATTGAAGGAATCAAAACGAAAAAAGCACTAAAAGAGACTGACCTGGTAATCGAATTGTTCGTTGAAGAACTATTAAACGAAATATAGAAGGAAGGAAAAATGCCAGAGCTGAGAGAAAAGTTTGATTCTTTCGATAGTAAAGAGGATGTGAGGAACTACAGAGGCATAGCGTTATTCAACGTGGAATACAAAATACTGGAGATGCTATTACGCCAAAGAATAAAGAGTTGACTGGAGAGAAACCGGAAACTAGAGGAAAGTCAGGCAAGATTCCGCAAAAACAGGTCAACAATTGACCACACCTTCATACTGAACTCCCTAATAAATAATAAAATGAGAAGAAATAGAGGCAAACTATACGTGGCATTCATACACTTCAAAGCAGCAATTGACAGCATAGACAAAGAGCTCTTATTTAGAAAGCTATGGAAGCTGGGCATCAGGTATAGAGTGTAAAATACGATTAATCCTTGCGTGACGATGGCCGGGTCTGCGGTGATCCGTTTGAAGCTGAGCGGGTGTATATGTGACTTACATTGACAAGGAGAGTGCAAGTCCTTCGGGTCACCGATTTAATTGAAACTTTATAGGTTTGTACATTTCGTCATGCAGTTCAAGAATATATATCATTATAGCCGCTACTACTCGATAGTTTTTAAGATATTTACTAGATATTAACACTTTGACTGCCACGGTGGTCATTGGTGACCGGAGCGTTTGAACTACTTAAACTACATTGAGCAACACTGAATGAAAATTGACAATTAGTACATTTTGAATATAACCGCTAATAAGAAGATACTTTGAAATAAAAAGTGCCCCATTGAACAATTAAAATTTTTTCTTAGAACATCAAAGATATATTAGAATAAATCCTGCATCTAGTAGTGCACTCCCGTTTCCCGAGGGAAACGTGT